TATTTATTTATTTATTTATTTATATCCCGCCTATCTAATCAATTACGACCACTCTAGGCGGCCCCGTTCTTATAAGCTTGGCACATCTTGATCTCTGAAGCAAGCACTCTCCTTCCTTTGCTGTATTTTGGCCATAGAGGTGCCTCATTCATTGATATTGGGTAGTTTGCTCCTTCTGGTTGCACATTCCTGTTTGCTGTCTCATCCCTGGTTCATAGCTTTAAGGGGGTTACTTTTCTCTCTTCCAGGCCCTCTCTAGCAGTGTGAGTTCCAGCAAGTTGTTTTCTAGCAGTACGGCCCCACATGAGACCTCATTTGGTGAGGAGGTAGAGGTGCACAATCTGCTCATCATTGATCAACACACATTTGAAGGTACTATATGTGAAGGTACTGTCTTTTGACACTATATCTCACTATACACATGAGATCTGCTTGTTTAGAGGCATTTCAAGACACGAGGAGAGAATTCCCTGGAGATGAGTAACTTTGGAGGCACATACACTCATGGAAATCCATGATTCCCTAGTATGGCTTCTTTTAGTTCCTACAGATTCTCATCGTTGCATAGTTCACACAGGAAATGCCAGCCAGTACATTCTGGAATCTCTTCCGTTGAGTTCTAATTCATGTCCTCACTTTCCCTTTTCAGTGCTTCACGCTCACCAGTTCCTGCAGAATGAGTATGCGCTAAGTCTGGTCTCTTGCAAATTGGGCAAAGACCCCAACACGTACTTCATTGTGGGCACTGCCATGGTATATCCTGATGAGGCTGAACCCAAGCAGGGCCGTATTGTGGTGTTCCACTATTCTGATGGTAAGAACTGGACAATGGAATCAGATTCCATATTCTCAGTTGCTATAGTCTATGAGAGGTTTTGGTTCTTTTTGAAGCCTTCTGGCCACTGGTATCGTCCCAAAAATTATCCCATGATTGTGTGGGGTAATAACTCCACAGAATAGAAGGGGATTCCATTCAGTGGAATTATCTGAAGATGAATGGAACATTGTCTAACACCCCAAACAGCACTTTGGGTGACCTTAAATGTGATGTGCTTTTTCAGTGTTGCAAAAACAGCATATTTTTACAGTGTCAGAAACATAGCAACAGGTGTAGCAAACCATGTTTTTCTGTGATGTGTTATTGTCGCAGTAGCTGAGAAGGAGTGGTTAACACCAAAATAGATGAAAAAATATGACTCTGTAACTATTCCCACTCTAATAATCTTATTGGTCTTGTATAGTAAAGTGTTCTTGTGTTGCATAACATGGAAACGGCTTTATATACCGTATTTGCCGGTGTACAAGATGACTTTTGGGGCCCAAAAAACATGCCTCCAAGTGGGGGGGTCGTCTTGTACGCCGGGAGCACTTAATTTGGGCCAAGAAGGAGCCGCCGCCGCCGCCGTTGAGTAAGGCCGTGCTGGCTGGGGAGGAAGGTGGGCAGGCAGGCAGTGGGTCCAGATGGAGGGAGGGAAGCCGAGCCATGCCTGAGCGGCCAGAGCCTGCCGCCAGGCTGCTCACCGCGCCGCTGAGCCAGCTGCCCGCTCGCTCGCCCGCCCGCCCAGCCGCTTCCCCTTTCCTTGCCCTCTCGCGCTAAGCCAACTGCTCGCCCGCCCGCCGCCCACGTGGTCGCCTCTTCCTCCTCCCACCGCCTGCCCAGCCGCTTCCTCCTTCCTTGCCCTCTCGCTGCTGAACCAGTTGCTTGCTCACCTGCCCGCTGCCTGCCTGGATGTTTCCCCTCTTCCTCCTCCTGCCGCCAGCCATGAACTTCCCCGTGAGTGACGCGGGGCCCTGCTGGCTGGGAAAGAAGGCAGGCAGGCAGGCCCTTCCCCTCTTGCGCTGAGCCAGCTCGCTCGCTCGCCTGCCCGCCCGCCTCCCGCGTGGTCGCCTCCTCCTCTTGCCGCCGGCCATGAACTTCCCCGTGAGTGACGCAGGGCCCTGAGCGGCCAGCGGCGCGCACGTTCACCCCCCACCCGCCCGCTTCCCCTCTTCCTCCCGCCACCCGCCCAGCCTCTTCCTCGCCCTCCTCCCCGCCGGCCGTGAACTTCCAGGGCGGGCCCAGGCAGAGTCCCGGCAGCCGGTGCTGGCGCTGCAGGAGAGCCATCCACTCTATATTTTGAGTGGAAAAGTTGGGGGGGGGGTCGTCTAATAGCCCAGTCGTCTTGTACGCCAGCAAATACGGTACAACACAGGAAAAGCTGTGTCTCGTGGATCTAAACTCATTTCATTACTTGGTTTGTGCGCACAGTAAAATGTTTGGCCCACGTATGGTGCAGCATTTCTGCAGCCAATCTGTTTTGATCTTTTAGCTATACTTGTTTCTAGCTATTCCATGAGTTGTGAGGGAGTTTGTGCGTATTTCAAGTTGTGTTGAATTGTTGTATGTCCCAGGTAAATTGCAGACGGTGGCTGAGAAAGAAGTCAAAGGAGCTGTCTACTCAATGGTGGAATTCAATGGAAAACTCTTAGCCAGCATAAATAGCACGGTAAGATTTCCAGGAACACTTCCATGTTCCCCAGAGCTGGGTTGATCTGCTAGCGGAGGAGGGGGTGTTTCTGACCTTGGTGGTCTTTTTCCCTGATTTTATTTTGGCTTTGACATTACAAGTAGGTCTTCTTCTACTAGGTGCGTCTGTACGAGTGGACAGCAGAGAAAGAGCTTCGCACAGAATGCAATCATTACAACAATATCATGGCACTCTATGTAAAGACGAAAGGTGACTTCATCTTAGTGGGAGATCTAATGCGCTCCGTCCTTTTGCTTGCCTACAAGCCAATGGAAGGAAACTTTGAAGAGGTACTGATTCTGTGTTTGCTTTAATGAATGTTGTGGTGAGGAGGCCCTAGTAAAAAGCTTCAGAAAAGAAAAGGTTTGATGGGAAGAGAGGCCTGTTTTTCTGCACCTTTGGTCCTTACATTCTCATCACAGGCATGTTAAGGGTGAGACTTCAAACATGATTTGTGGAGTCTCCTTCTAGGGTTGTCCTTAGGACTAGACAGCGAGAAGTAGGGGCCCTCAAATTGCACATTTTGTGTTGCAGCCATGAAAGTCTTGCATCCCATCATTTAAATATTTTGGAGGAAAGCACCATATGGTTTTACCATTTCAGATATTAAATATTGTCCATTTGTTGGACAGTTCAGTATATATTTAGTCCATGGAACCAAAAAATAATAATTGCTGTATTGATACTAAGGTAGCAGTTTTTTCATTATGAAATTTTGAAATATGTGTGTGGATTGTGTTTTCGTATGATAATCTATTCTGATTGATTGCTTCACCTTTTTATAGTGTCATGAAGATGACTGCAGCCATGTTTTCTCCATCTTTGCTAGTTTAAGCTCAGGTATGTGAGATGAATTTAGGAGCATTCTCACAGTTTTAAAATTTAAAATGAGACACTTGGATCACACAAAATACTTTAAATTAAAAAGGTTACATAATGTAGCTTCAGACATCTTGATATAAAAAGTTTAAGCTGCTGAATGGACGGTCACATAAAAACATAATCCATGCACATAACTCCTTTCAAAAATCATAATGAAGTGTTGCTGCTTAACTTGTTAACAGAGTTTTGGTCTGACCCATAGAGTAATTAATTGGATCGAGAATGTTTGGATTCTGGTATTTACCAAGATAGCTGGTGTTTATGGTTAAGAGAATGCTTTATGATTTTATAGGGAAATTATCCATTGGATTTCTTAGAATGTGTGTGTTTTCCTAAAGGAGCATGTAGTTGTTTAGAATTCTCATGCAAATGCTTTCTTGTGGGTAAGCTCTTTTTAATGTTGTCCTTTTTCATTATCTTGACTTGGTTTCACCCGTTTGTAGTTAAACCGTTTGTAGTGAGTTTATCTGTTCATTGCAAACGAACCCAAAGCTGTAGTGAAATTTGTGTTGGGCTAAAGAAAATTATTTGGTTTTTGGCAACAAAAGTGTAAACATGCAAGCAAGTGATGCATCTCTCCTTTTAGATCGCTCGTGACTTTAATCCAAATTGGATGAGTGCTGTGGAGATTTTGGATGATGATAACTTCCTAGGGGCAGAGAATGCTTTTAACCTGTTTGTGTGCCAGAAAGACAGGTGAGTTACCCCCTCTAAAAGCATTGAAGCATGCCAGTGGCATCAGCCCCGAGCAGTGTGGGAGAGGCCTTGCTCTATTATTTTTCCTAATAGATTCTCTGCTTTGCAGTGCTGCCACAACTGATGAGGAGCGGCAGCATCTGCAGGAGTTTGGCCTGTTCCATCTGGGCGAGTTTGTCAACGTCTTCTGTCATGGTTCACTAGTCATGCAGAATCTGGGTGAAACATCCACCCCAACGCAGGGTTCTGTTCTCTTTGGCACAGTCAATGGAATGATTGGTAAGGTTACACTTCTGCCATATCTCCGTGTAATGTGAGGAAGAGAGCCCATCACTGTTGATGGATGCTGCAGTACAGCATGGGGATTGTTAGGGTGGGTGGGACAGGATAAAGAGCTGATGTGTTAGAGTTAAACCTTGAAAGAAATTGGAGTAATAGAGAACTTGGATGTTGTTTTTCAGCTATAAAGGCAGCATCCTTCAGATCTGTGTAGGCTGAAGTAAATACAGTGGTGCCTCGCATAACGTTTGCTTTGTTTAACGTTTTTTTCGCTTAACGTTTATTTTTTCAGAGTCAGATTGTGCTTCGTATAACGTTTTTCCTATGGGTGATTTTCACATAGCGATTTTGGGACCATGCTTCGCTTAACGTTTTTGGTTTTAGGTCCCCTGCTTCACTTAACGATGTTCATTTTTTCAATTACAAAAGTGTCTTAACATGTTGAAAAACGGTTTTAAATGCTTGGAATCGTTAGTGCACCTTCTAAAATGTGTGCATACTTAATTTGGCGTTGATCTGACTTTTCGTTAATTTTTTGTGAATTTTTTTCTCCCCCATAGGAAACAATGGAGCTGTCAGATTTTGACAGCTGTCAAAAGTTGGGGGGGAAAAATTCACCATAAATTAACGAAAAGTCAGATCAAAGCCAAATTAACTTTTGCATCCGTTTTAGAGGGTGCAGAAGCTAATCCAAGCATTTAAAACCATTTTTGACCCTTTTATGACACACTTAAATTTGCAAAAATTGACTTCGCAAAGCCATTGAAATGTATTGAGTCGGCTTCAATACATTCCAATGGAGGAAACATTGTATCGTTTAACAATGTTTCCTATGGGTTTTTTCGCTTAAGGACGCCAATCCGTGCCTATTGGAACGGATTAACCGGTTTCCAATGCATTCCTATGGGAAATGGTGTTTCGCATAAAGTTTTTTTCGCATAAGGTTTTTTTTTTGGAACCAATTAAAAACGTTATGCGAGGCACCACTGTACTTAGATGGTAACAAGTGGATTGAAAATATTTTTGTTAACAATTGCTCCTCCTCTTTCACAGGCTTGGTGACTTCATTGTCTGAAAGCTGGTATAACCTCCTCTTGGATGTACAGAACAGGCTGAACAAAGTCATTAAGAGTGTAGGGAAGATTGAACACTCCTTATATCCTTTTTTACTCCCATCATTGTCCTATTAGTATTAGCCACTCTACAAGGTGCATTTTTAAAGTTTAGGCTTAGAATTCAAAATAAATAAAGGAATGGGGAAGAAAGGGATGGCAGTGCAAATGTAGTTAGAGTCTAGCATGACCAAAACAGCGATAATGATCTGAAAGGAAGAAGTGAAAAATTCTTTTCTAAAAGGCAGATATTCAAAAGTTGTTTAAAGTAGATGAACAAGAATAGTGCGAATATCATTAGGGAAGACATTCCAAAACTAAGATGTGAAGAACAATAGAAGGTTTAACTTAAAGATTATCAGGGCACAATGAATAGGGTTATATAAAAAGGCAGCAACATGAAAATGAGAGCCTTAAGGAAGAATGTATGACAGACACAAGAAGTTCAGAAAACCAGGATGGCGGCTGATAAAACAGGGAAAGATGGCTGAGAAGAGTTGCAACAAAGAGGGGAGAAACACAAGGAGAAAGATGGAACCTGTAGGACTTGAAAGATAAATTTAGCCTGGATGGGGAAAGGGGTTGGATATAAATGGGGGACTATGTCTAAGGCTCAAGATGTTCCTGGCTCTACTGTTCCCAGCCTCATATTGCCCATTCCCTGTCTCTCCTGATGGTCAGGGAATTGGAACAGCATGTGATGTGAGATGGCTGCAGAAGATTAGCCAGAATCCTACTGGTGATTTATGCTAGTGTAAGGAAGATGACATAATTGGTGACAGCAAATTACTGCTCATTAACAAGGTGCTAGCTGCATTCCTGAGTGCATACCAGACTCAGCATTCACCTAGGGAACACAAATGGCACCTTGTTAACAAGCGGCAGTTTGCCATCAAGGCTTACATGATTTCTTTTATGCAAATCTAACTTGCCAGCAGGATTCTGGCCATTTTTAAATCTAGGGAAGAACTTTCATTGCTGTCCTAGAAAAATCGGAGGAAGCATTTGGCACATTCTTGTTCAATAATAAATTGAATGCAGTTTTATATCTTTTTTGAAACTAAGCATATCTGTTGCTTACACCAAAGACTACTATGACAGCTTAAGGGGTGACAGGTTTATATTAGCAAGACCTTTCATGGCCAGAGTCTAACTTTCTCAGATGTATGAAGTGTTGACCTCTTACTGACAGAATTATATGCTCATGCTCGGGCCACTGTGGAGGAATTGTAAACAGAGGTCAGAAGGAATTCAAATAAAGAAATTATAAAAGATGCTGAACAGATGATTCAGTGGCATTCTGAAGATAGCATAACACAGTTTGTCTCATCTAAGTTCATGTGTTATGTGGGATCTCTCACTTTTATTTTTTTATTTTCAGTCCCACAGGAATTCCAATTTGAGGGCTAATGTCTTGCATATGGTAACGTGTACAGTGGCATAAAAGTTTATATCATAACAAATTTCTTAGTATTTAAAAGGTCACAAGATGTTATTTTGTTGCAACATATTAATATGGATATGTTTCTGGAAAATAATTGTGTCGGGCACCACAGAGAGGTAACGCTTGCCCTAGATGCAGTATAGTTTCATAGAAAGTCACTGTGCCGTTTTATAATGCACCACTCTAAACCTGTACATGTTGGTACCATTTCAGTGTATGCCGAACAAGAAGACCAGCACTTGTTTTAGATTTTTATATTTAGTAGGAATAGCTAAGGTGGAATGACTGGAAGTATTGCTTCCTTGATTCTTTATTGCACCTGGAGATCATTTCACACAGAACGCAAAACAGAGCCAGCTACTGGGTTCATTGACGGAGATTTAATTGAAAGCTTTTTAGACATCAGCCGACCCAAGATGCAGGAGGTGGTAGCTAATCTACAGGTGAGTAGAGAAACCTAACCATGTGAAAAGAGGGGCCTTGAGGCAGCCCTTCTCATTGAGCAAAGCTGCAGTTCTGTGTAGACAGTTGTGGCAGCAAGTGCTATTAAATTCACATTTCTGAGTCAACATAGGATTGCACTGGTATATGTCTTCGTGATATAGCATGAATGGAACAATTGTGTTTCTTATTCTTTTCCTTATTTCAGATTGATGATGGCAGTGGAATGAAGAGGGAGGCCACAGTGGATGACCTGATCAAGATTGTGGAGGAGCTCACCCGTATCCACTAGCTGGATGAGGAAAGATTTCCTGGCACCTTCCTCCATGCTAGCATCTGGAGTCTTCCCTCCTGCAGCTGGGGCTCCCTAGCCAGTTGCACTGTAATACTAGAGGCAGTAGCAGTGTGCCTGGGTGAAAGTGGGGAATCTGTGAACTGAAGCCATCTCGCTAGGAACTTGCAGATGCAATGTTGACTGTTGATGATATCATCTTCTGCTTGGATTCACTAATCCTGTGGCTCTTACCTGCCAACCCAGTAACTGGTTCCAGCCAGTAGTTCCCATTGAATAGCATCTAGTGGTTGGCAAAGGTGTACCCCCACCTAGACTCTTCCCACAACTCATTCACTGTTGTCTTTTAGTACCTTTTTGGATTTAATATTTTTTGTTCCTTGTGTTTGAAGTGAGAGTCTTCTTTCTTCTCTCCCCCCCCCCCGCCCTTTCTTTTCCTCTTCATTGGTTTGGATGAGATGTGGCTAGATGGCCGTGTCTGGTGTTGGGGCAGTGGGAACTATGGCCCCTCTTGGTATGAAGAAGCCTGTCTGGGTGGGGAACCACAGTGTGGGTAGAAGACCTCTCTAACCCCAGCCTGGCTGCTCATTTGGGGAGAAGGGGCTGAAAAACAAAATTTCTGTTACTGATTTTGAAATTTTACCAAATAAAAGTAGTCCAAGAGAGGAGGTTTCATTGCTGTTGTCATAATCTTCCCATGCTCTGCCATATTCCTTTTTAGAAGAAGGGAAGCATCTCTGAGTTGCAGCATTCCAATTACCTTGTCAGTGTCTAACTGCATGATCTTTTGTACTACTGTTCTTTCTACTTCATGGTCTCTGTGACTTACACTGATCTTCTGCACCTGTGCAGCTGTGCCTCGGAGCTCTCCCTAGCTGAAATGAGTACATTTTGGTGGGAGCTGCACTTCCTGTATATCCTTCATATGAGCAGGAGTTTCCCTCCTTTCTCCTCAGTTCCTTTTATCCACCTTGCAAGTAAGCCATGTTGGAATTCTTCATCTTTTTGCCCTTTCCCCCCTTTCTGTTTTTCTGGAGAAAAATGGGTTTTCCCCAGCTTGTTCCTTCTCCCCCTTTTCTGTTCCCTGTTTATGATAGCTGCTCCCCTTTTCAAAGAGTGTTCCATCGGTGTGCATGCATTCCTCTTGGATAGAGACACTCGAAGTGTCTTTTTGTCCTGCTGAGCAGCACAGTAATCAAAAGTGTAAACATTGTCAACCCTTCATGGCCTAGAGCTATAAAACAGAGAAGCCTGCCTCAAGGCAGTTCTTCATTTGTTGCAACAACAACCTCTTTTGTCCACCCCAACAGCAAGATGGACTTGGCCTTCCTTCATGGTCTCACCATCAAAGAAACCCTTGACCATGCAATGGCTACAATACCATCCTCAGTACCAGCTGTATAAGGTGCACTACCACATCACCTTTAGTACTGAGCTCCTTAATATTGGGCCCTTCAATATCAGACCCATCTACTAACCACAAGCATGCCAAGCACCACTCGTCTTCCAAGTCATAAAATCACTCATCACCTCAGGAGGAACTCAAGAACAAGAAGAGAAAGAAAAGGCCCTTGAGCCTTCTAACATGATTCTTTCTTCTCCAGAGGCACAGCTACCACATCAAATTCTGCAAACTAGTACCACAGAGGCAGTAATTGTCATCAGCTGGATCTTGCACCAGTACCATAGCTTTCTATGGAGCATTTTCCACATGGAAGGCAGCCCGTCTAGGAGAAGGAAAACTCTGATTTCAAATTTCCACTGCCTTGTGGCTATATCCACTCATGGAAAAGGCTTCAGGAGTTAACCTCGAGGCAAAATCCGGAGCTGGCGTCGCGAAGGCAGCATGTGTCGTTCTGCCAACTCCTGTGACATTGCTGGAACCAGTTGTATTGGCTCTTGCCATTCCATTGGACCATTTCAGCAATGTGGAGAGGGGGGATCTGCTGCTTGGGTAACAGCCTATCCTCCATATTAGCTTACCTGGGTTTCATGCTCTGGAGAGGACACGCCTCGATCCAGAGCATGTTACCATAGTCAGAGCATGTTCCCATAGTCTCTCGAGACTGAAGGATGCCTATGCTTTCCACATATCTGGAAGTGGAGCCATGGCAACTGGTATTGTGAGAGGAGGAAAATATGGAGAAAGCTGCGGATGCATGCAGTTGGAGCAGTCGTGCCATTTGGAGCAAGACTAAGAGTGGAGCACCAGCATTGCGGCTTGTGAGCCTTCTTATTGCTAGTTCAGGAAACTGGTACGTGGCTTGGACAAAAAAAAAACCTTGTGGGCTGGAAGTGATCCTGCAGCATCGAATCTGAAAATTTTCCCCCTGTATTTTGTGTGCTGTAGATAAGGCTCTTGTAGGATGTATTAGTGGAAATGACATGAAGCATTGGAACTGCTGGGTAGATTTTGCTGCCTGCAAAAGTACGGTATGTATCTTCCACATACTTTGCCAGAGGTCTCCCTTGCTATGACAACCAAATTACCCGAACTGGCCACACCATCAATGTCACCACCTTGTTCATGGTATTCTGTTCCTATTTAATAAACAGGCAGACTTCCAAGGATACCCAGCATGGTATAGTGGACAGACGAATGTAGGACTCAGGAGACCTAGTTTCAAGTCGCCACTCAGCCATAAAAATTATGGGGATGGAATTGGTAAAACCACTCTTAATACCCCAACCTACCTTGAAAGCCCTGTTATTGTCACTGTGTCAGTTCCAACTTGATTGGACATAACACAGTACAAACTTCCAAGAAAAGAGGGTGGCTCACATTTAAACTGGGAAGCATCATCCCTTAATATTTAGGAATTATCCATCTTTTGAAAAAGAAGTTCAGCAGACATTGTCAGCTGCCTAGCATATGCTGGGTTTGATTAAGCTCGCAACATATTTCAACATGTTACGATAGGAGAGTCTCTTGGCACTTGACATTTTCTTCCTTTTTTCCTCATTCCCTTTCCAAGATCTTTTCAAAATTATGCTACAATGCAAAAGAGAAAGCACTGCTGACCCTCATCTAAGAGCCAAATGTACAGGAGTGAGTGTCACAGCCATCCTCCTAGACTGTGCCCTGGCCAGCCTGAGTTGTTTTTAAGGTGAGAGAAATAGGGAGGGCCCCCCTCAACTTTAGTCTTTGTTTTATGATCCTGAACCCTTGCTCACAGTCTGGTGATAATGCGATAGCTGCCATTTGGCCCCTTGATTTCATGATATTCCATGAATTAGCCAGTCCAAATGGCTCTTTCATGGGCCCCTTCCAACTTCATTAATATTCTGTGATTCATTTACCAAATGAGGATTTGGCCCTTGAACTCAACCATGAACACAACAACTGAAGCTAGATCCTAATTATCAAACAGCAATCCCAACAGCTTTTAGCAGAGTGACTCCTGCTTTTGCTTTTCAACGTCTTCTGTGTTTGGTTAGGCTGTAATTCTGTCACATGGCTACAAGTGGGGGAACAATGCACAGTTTTCAATCATGTTCAGTAGAGGGCAGAGCACTTGTTACATAAAACCTTGCATCCTTTTAAGCTCCCAGCACCTGTGCTATTTGTAGTACAAAGCCATGTCATTTACAAATCCTTTTCACACACCAGATGATTTTGGCCTCCCATCTCTTCTCAAAAGATGCCAAGAGTGTTGCTGGCAGCCATTTAGATTCATTATTTATGTTGCATTGTACAGCGCAGTTACGAAGATGAGGTGTTAAGGTTGCTTGTGCCAAGGCAGCAAGCTTCCCGTAAAAAATGGAGCGTTTCAAAAGGTTTCTCTTGGAGCAGGGTATCTTGGAAATAATTGTTTTATAAGAAATGCGAGCCGTGTAATCTAACGTAGGGTTGTAAACCTTCCTATGTAGCTAGTGCCCAAGTTGCTTTATAGTAAGAGCCCTCTCGGAGAGCCTGGCCACACTCCCAGAAGGAATGATTAAGATTTTTGGGGCTTCCAGGAGGTGAAGACCAGTGCCTCCTAGTCCCAGCAGTTATTTCACTTTGGCTTTAAATAAACCAATAACATCTCATTGCTTTCATTAGGATGCCTGCTTTGCACAAGGACTGCTAGTGGGATCCTTATGTTCATCTAATCCTGAACACATACAAGGGAGCAGGCTTATCGGTGCACTTGCATGAGCTGCGGAGAATATTTCCCAAGCATTTCCAGTTGTTTTTCATGCTTTTATTTTCTTGGCACATCAAGAGAGTTGGGAAATAGTGGGGGAAATGTTCCTGCTGGAGTGGGGCTAGATGACTACTGCAAAGCTGATAGCCCAAAGTATTGTTTTAAAAGGGGGGGGGCAGTGGGATAAGCTTAGGGAGGCATCAAGTCAAAGTACGCTCGTTGGTCTTTCTCAATAAGTGCAATAGTCATAAACCTTATCAACTATATAGAAAAAGTGTTTAGACTTTGCACATTTTCATCACAACCAACGATAGAGTGCAAGTGACCAAAACATGGCCCCTCTTTCATATACCATGTGTGTGGATTTGATTGATTGATTGCAAATAAGAACTTCCTGTAGTTGGATGCATGTAAGATATATGTGCAGTGTGGCATTATTGAATTGTTCTATCACTGTATGTGTTAAAGTAGGTATTGAGGTCCCGTGTTCAACTCCAGCATCTTGAGATAGGGCTAAGAAAACTCTCTGAAAAAAACAGAAGAGCCATTGCCTGTCAAACATACAGCATGTTAGATGGAGCAGTGGTCTGATTTCTCATGAAGCTGCTCCTGTTGTTAAGTGTGTGCGTCTAGTACAGCTGAACGTCAGGGTTTGTCAACCTCCAGTCAAATTTACAGAAAAGAGTGCAATCATTACAGCAGCGTTGCGGAACAGCTGTTCCCAAACTGGTATCCTAAATGTCTTGGCGATCACTTCTGCCTTAGAGATGGCTTTCTTGCAGGGATACTACTGACCTTGTTTGGTTTAACTCCTCCACTTCAGCACCTTTCCTCCAGATGTATTGTACTAAGGCTACCATCGTCCACAGCTGGCAGGAAAACAAATGATGGCCCATCCCTCTCCTGCCTCACTGTTAATGGTTTTTATCCTGGCTAAAATCCAAGCAATATGTGGTTGGAGAAGTATTTGACCTTTTCTCTTTGCATACCTGAATGCGTGGGCATTAATATATATAATTATGTGCTTGTGCTTACATCATTTTTTGGTCAAATACTTCATACAAGAACTTTGTTTAAAAGAGGGAGGAAATGACCAGTTTCTTTGAACTCCATGAAGATTAGTAATGAATGCAAACATCGGAAAATGTCAGAATCAGCTAGTCACTAGTGTAATTGATTCCATGCTCAGGGTCATGCTGTAGAGAAATAAATAATGTTACTACTTATTTGAGTCTATACCACCTGAAAAAGTAAATAGGTATTGCATGACTGAATGCTGCAGTGGAAAAGAGACTGCCATCCTATATCCATTTGTCTGATAGACTCCATTTGATTTAGTGGGATTTACTATCTGTGGAAAGAGTTTTGTAGGATTGCACAAAAATTTCCCTGCTTGTGGAAAATCGTATTAGGAAGAAGAGTCTAGTTTCCTGCAGGCAGGATGTTAGGACTCTCCATTACCTCTAGTCTGTAGTTGTAGAACTTTAGAATTTGAGCAAAAAATTAAAGATATCTAATCTAGCCTTCTTTAATATGAGAGAGCTATTTTTGTGAATATCTAGATCGTCTCCACACATCAGCACAATATTAATTATTATTATATTGGCTGTAGAGATGGGCATTAATTTAAAAATGTATCACCAAATTTGTTCAAAAATTGCTAATTTGTCCATTTCCTATTCATATGATGCCCAATGAATACAAATCACAATTTTTGGTGATGTTTGATTTGTCGATTTGTTTGTCTATAAAAGGGTCCACCACCACCCCCAGACATCAAGAGACACCAAAATTTCAGGGAAATTTACTCTTGACTTCACAATCCCTCCAAGTTTGGTGAAGACTGGGTTTTCCCAAGCCATCTGCTAAAGGGCAGTTTCCTGGGGAGACCCATTTTGTGGGTGCATATCTTGAATGTCCAAAACCCAAACTTCAACAAACTTGTAGGGCTTGTAGAGGACAGTCAAGGGAAGCTTCTCTGTGAATCTGGTTTCTCTAGGTGCTTGGGGGAGGCATTTAAAGTTTTTTTTAAAATGAATTCATTGTTTCAGAAAAAAAATTAAATTTGTAATTGAAATTCATCAACCTTGACAAATTACAAATCAAAATTAATCACAATTTTTCTGATTTGTGCCCATTTCTACTGTAAAGTCACAGAATATAGACATAGAAAGAATAATATGAATAGTAAAAGGACTTGTGAGATTTGACCAACTGAGTTATGAAAGTGTTATATCTGGTCTTTATCAGACCTAAAAAACTATTAAGTATTTGAAGCATAGGGTATTTCCATGTGATATCATAATGACTCCAGTCTTGAATAGGATTATTTGGAGGAGGGAGACTAGACAATTCCTGGGTGGCTAAATCTATTGAGAGATACTGCTAACAACAGCTCAATGGATCCTCCATGTTTAGAAACAGAGTACTTTTGAACAACCAATGCTACGAGGGGCAAAGCCATGGCAAAGTATTATTACTCATAGAAGGCTTCACAGATTCAGCCAGTCAGCCATAGCTCAGAAAATAATGTTGGTCTAGAGGTGTCCTTGGTCCAAACCAGCAAGGATCTTCTTGTCCTTTCTATCTATAGCCTTGTGTGGTTTCAGTTCTGATAACCAACTTACCTACTTTTCATAGATGCACAAGATACTTGCAGTCAAGGATAGGGATGAACAGTTGAACTGAATCCTTAGCTGCCTTACTTCCAATTGGAACTGCCCTTCATGTAGAAAGCAGCAGGTTTGGTCGGAAGAAAACAGCTGCCTATAGTTTTTTGAAGAGGAGCGTGTCCATTTGTTTGCTTGTTTCCTTCAGGGGAATGTGACTTGGCCCAACATATAAAGACCAATGTGGTCAAAGTATAAAGAGACTTCGCTTACTGTTTTATCTGCTGAAAGCACGGTGCAGCTGTTTCATCTTTTCTCCTTAATGGGTTTTCTCTGGTAAGACAAAAGGAGGAAGAAACAATGGGAAAATAGAGGAGGACTGCCAACTGAAGCTGATTACATCTGGACCTCCCATTAACGTCCATTAATGAGGCAGTGTGGATTCCCAGTACAAGCCTCTTCTAGAAGCACCCTAGATAACAAGTGTGAGAAAAGGTCAAACCAGACCATACTCCTAGCCCCTATTTATAAGCAGTGCTATCTGTTTCATAAGACATCTGCTTGTTATTCCTTTAGTCAGGTTTTGTTTGGGAATTGTTCTCTGGAAGGAAAAAAACCATTAATTTTTGAAGGTACAATTACACCATGGGAAAAATGCAAGTGGATCCTCTGAAGTCATACCTGGAAATCTGCAACAGGCTCACTATTTTAAAAAAAACAAACAAAAAAAAACCCCATGCTTTGTTAGACAATTGTCTGACACCCCAATGACACAGCCCGTACTCTTAAGTTATTGTTTCCATATTGAAAAAAACACGCTTGTCGCCTTTTTTGTCAAGAACTTTATTCTGCCACTTGATATTGAGAATGCTTCAAAGACAGATAAGATTAAAGTGACTGAGCTTTCTTTCATGGTGTTGATAGATGGTCAAAGTTTCTGCTTCATAAAGCAGGAAGGATAGTGTATTTCTGGGATTTTGATTATTGATTATTTGTGGGAGATCTGTTGGGGGGTCCATTTGAGTAACAGAATAGTTTGCAGCAGTGTTTCCTGTAGACATTTAAACTCAATTTATCAATTCACTGGAGCAATCAATTGGACTTACAGTGAGCTTACAGTAAAAATAGTTACTAAATTTTATTTAGAAAATACATTGATGGGAAAATCTGATTCCTGATCTCAATAGCTGACCATGTCCTAAACTGCAGCACATGGTTTCATGGGAGGGTGGCACAGCCCACCCTCAAGAGAGGTGCTAACGGATCAAAACGAAGGCGAAAACCAAGAGAGAGGAAGTAATAAATCTTTCCCTTTCTTTTGGGTAAGAAGAAACAACCAACGGAAAAGATAGACAAACGATTCTATTTACAGAATAGCAAGTATTGGTACAAAGAAGTGATGCTTCCAGAAAACCCTTCTAACAGACAGAACAACAACTTTGGACATCTTCAGCACAACAGAAAGATTATGATTGATTCAACACAGAGGATCAAAGTCTTCCAAAGGCTGTCCTGGCCTTAAGGCTTCATTAGGTCACTTCTTTGTAGAGGAGAACACAGCAGGAGACAATGCTGCCAAGATGCACGAAATTTTCCACTGCATGGTTATAATAAAATTGGGTTACCCATTGTTTGTGCTGTCACTGTGCTGCCCATGGCACTGGTTCAACTATGTCCCAAAGCATTCGACATCACGGGTGACATCTCAATGAGGAAAATGACTTGGTGAGACTGGTCCATTCTCCACAATATGGGGAAATGTTCATGGCATAGACTCAATAAATATACAACTGGCTCACAAGACTCAGACTTATTCTTTTGAAATTCTACCCTTCATAGTACTTTAATAATGATAATGTAGTACTGTAGTGGATAGAATAGTGAATAGGGTAACGTGGATTCAAATTCCTACTTGCAGGTGAAAACTCGTTGGGGGTGCCATTAGTAGAACCAAATCTTCAAGAATATCTCATATAGTTTGAAAATTCTACTAAAGTTGCCATCTGTTGGATGCAACTTGATAACACAAAACAAATAATAGTATAATCCTGTCTCTGAAAATACAAAGATAGTGTAGGGTGGTGGTTGTTTTTCTCTTGGTGTGTGTTCTGTCATTAAGTCAGTTCTGACTTACAGAAATCCTATAAGGAATGATACTGAAGTGGTGGTTTTACCAGTGCCATCCATTGGAGTTTCCATGAGCAAACAGGGCTTGGAACCCAGTTCTATTGATTCTACTCTACCAACTGCTCTTCACTGGCCCCGTCTGTAGCTCAGCTGCAGTGGACATTATTGTGTCAAGATCTGATGCTTTGTAGGTATATAGAGTGATCAACTGAGGCTGGTGACTACATGTGGCTGTTGGCAGCTGTAAGTTTACCTCATCAAGCAGCTCTCTGCTTTTTAATATTTGGGAAGTACATTGACCTTTCAGAGTCTCAACATTGGTTTTTAACCCTCCGGTCTTCACTTGGCAAGAATCAGCCTTATTTTTGGACCTTTCTTTCTAAAAGGAAAACCTGCCCCCAGGGCCATTCTTTCAGAGATGCGTTGCAGCGGCTTGTCTTAGCAACTGCTGCTATTTCTGCCCTGAACTGGGATCCCACTCTTCTTAGGGAGGTTTTAATAATGGTTTTCCAATTAAGACTATGGTGTGTGTAATGTGCTTATAAGTCTGCCTCAGTCACCATAGTCTGAGTCAAATGTGGAAACACCTGTTTTTTTTCAGGCATGCAAAGGAAAACGCTAAGTGGCAGTTGAAGAAAGTTCATGCTTTTTCGTCTGTCTGTCTGTCTATCTGTGTGCAACTCCTGTCTGGGACAAGGCACCCGGTTGATCACGAGTGGCACCCCTGTTATTCACATTTGACGCGTGCCTCGCCGTGGATCTGGCTTGGAACACTTTATCTGCTTCAGCTCCTCTTTGGTACAGCCGGGAAAGCAGCCCAGAGAAGGGGGAGGGGGGGGTCTTCTCGAGCCTTGCCAGATCTGGAAAAGGAGACTCTTGCGAGGAGGGGAGGACAAGGCACCCGGTTGATCACGAGTGGCACCCCTGTTATTCACATTTGACGCGTGCCTCGCCGTGGATCTGGCTTGGAACACTTTATCTGCTTCAGCTCCTCTTTGGTACAGCCGGGAAAGCAGCCCAGAGAAGGGGGAGGGGGGGGTCTTCTCGAGCCTTGCCAGATCTGGAAAAGGAGACTCTTGCGAGGAGGGGAGAGAGCTGGGGTTGGGGGCGAGCGAGCGAGCGAGCGGAGTCTCAAAACAACAGAACCGCTGTGTTTGGAATGCTGGGATCCTCCCACCGCATC